TGATGTTTAATGGAAATCTGCACATTTGGAGTATCATGAGATCTTATTTAAACCTTCTGTTTCAGCTGGCTTTCTCTAACGCTGCTCCAGCAGAGAAAGGGAGGGTGTGGGTACTGCCTCGTTACAGCCTGGCAGGGGTGGAATCTAGGCTCCCCACTTGGCCTTGTTGGTGGGTGGGTGTGGGGCCACAACTTTTTCTGCGGTGTTTGGCTGCAGTATAGTGGCTGGTGTCTAAGAGTTTCCTTTTTTCTTGGCTGCCCCTTTCCTGGTCCTTTGACTAGAGAGGAGAGGCTTTTGTTGTCTGTGCCTGTTGGCATTTCTAGGTTGCTGGCTTCTTCGGCGATAAGTCTGGGACATATGTGACAAAAACAAAATGCAGAGACTTTACCGCCCTGTTGTTCCTTGGGTTCTGAGGTCCCTGATCAGTCTGTCTTCTACTCTCTTTCAGAGAATTCTTATGTTTCTTTTAAAGATAATATCCAGGGTTTCTAGTTGTATATAGCGTGAAGAAAAAATACATCTGCTCCATCTTTCCAGAAGCAGAAGCCTAAATCTTCATATTATTAAGCAATAATTCCTCCCTAGAGAGAAGATAACACTTTTCTATTACAGTGGTTACAAAGTGGAGGCCTATAGCTCAGACAGGCAGTAGCAGGGTTTTTTTTCTAATCCAGTTCTCCACAGCCCCTTTCCATGTCTGCCTAGCTTGTTAACTATCCCATGAAGATATCTGTGTTTGCAAACTCTGATGTAATAGACACATCGTGAGGCCAAGCTATCAACAATGGATTACAGCCATGGATTCTGGAAGATCATGCTCGAGCTTCCCTTTTCATACACTAATACTCAGTTTAAGAAATATAAACTAAGACTTAGGTCAAACGTAATAAAGCCTTTCCCATACACTGCATCCCACTTCCTTTCCAAAGCCCTTTGGGAAATTTTGTTGAGGATTCAGAATTCAATCACTGTACTAACTTGTAAAATAATTAAAGTGAGTACAGGACCCTCTCCATTTTGTTTTGCTTCAGAACGTTTAAAGACGAGATCTAGCTATTGTGTGTACATGGACGAGGCTGGGAGAAACAAGAGGAGAGGTTCAGAGCGCTGATGATGATAATGTTGATGATGGAGCCAGAGGAAGGAGGATGATTACATTAAAACTACAGTGTCCTAATTTCCTAAAGGCTGGCCAGAATCAAATCCTTTTGGATAAAAATGGAATTGAAGAATGTTCTAGAAAGAAAGGAATTTAGAGACTTAACAATCTAATCCAAACTCTCTTATCCTTACAGATAAGGAAACTGACACTCAGAGGTTATACAGAGTCACGAAGCTATCCAGTACTGTTTGTACTACTCCGTCACGTTCCTTCTTCCTGGCCTCGTTCTATTTTCTCAACAATGGAAACTGATCAACTGTGTTGCTTCTTCTCATAGTTCCTAAAAATATTTTATTACAATTTGTAACTGGATTATGGAACATGACATTCCGATCTCATTCTTAAATTTATTGACAAATTCCAGAGAGAGATTTTTACTGTTAGCCCAGTAAAAATGAAAGCAATTGAGCTGGCAGTGGAAGGGGGCAAACAAAACAAAATTTTTTATTATGTTTCTTCTAGTAGTCCTAATTATCAGGCAAATCTTCAGGATGACTTGGCACTGAAGCACACATTTATTGAGTTAGTTGATCCATAAATAAACCTAAGAGCTATCTACTCTTTCAGCTGGGACAATGTTTCCCAAACATCTGTCATTCCATTTACCACCTCTACAAGTTTGGTTTGCTATATCTGCACGTCGCTTGTACTAACATTCATATTTATATTTATATCAACTTTAAATCCACTCCTTTTTCATACTTAGAAAGCTCTGAGCAATAACATCCATTAAACCACAAGTGTGATGTGCTCGTTTTCCTAATATACTTTAAAATAATTACATAACTGTTAAAACATGTCCAGGGACATACCATCTAAACTCATCTCATGTGATACCAGTGATATTCTTACCATACTTTGACTGATCTGATCCTGAGCTGTGGGTTTATGGGTAGATAATAAAAATTTGTTCTCCAAAATCTATCCTGAGTTGCTAATTATTCAGACTCATGGGCATGTACCAAATGTACGATCCCACCACCAATTCCAACAGATATAAACCTTGGAAGCCCAGCTTTTCAGATTTTATTGTACATAAGAAAGATATGAGGCACTGGATTCCCCACACTCACAGTGGGCTGGGGGCCAAGGAAGCTGCGTTTTTGCAGGCACCCAGGGAGGGCTGATGTGGGAAGATCCAAGGGTCCACATTTTGTAAAACAGTGGACAGGGCGGGTGGGGCAAAATTGTAAAACTCACTCTAGCTTTTCAATGGCCTGGGTTCAAATTCCAACTCTGACTGTGTGATACTAAGCAAGTCAGCTAACCTCTCTGAGGCTTGGTTTCCTTATCTGTTAAATGATGATTATAATAAAAGCTACCTCACTGGGTTATTTTAAGGCTTAAATGAATGATGTGTCAAAAAGCATTACAAAACCATAGAGCCCTGACCTTGAGTTTAACTTATACTAAATTAATCCCCAACTTGAGTGTGTATTTCGAATAAGATGTTTGCACAATAGATAATTTCAATATTATCGACTGATGACTACAAATTAAATCCTCAAGGAATTGTATCTGGACCTTCAGGGAAACCCCCATCCCCCATGCAATGGCTCCCAGGCCGGAGCTGTTTCAAAGGCCTATCCTGGTAACTCTGCTCTTAAGAACAACTTTATAAGTAGCATACCAAATTATCTTTGTGGTTTAGAGTAAATATTTATTATTTAAAAAAAACTTCTCCTTGAAGAAAACATAACAACTCGTGAATAATAAATTTAACGCCAACTTTGCAGACTTGGCTACAGGGCAAATATAACAAAGACAATTACAAAACACACTCTTATAATAATTCATCAAAGGCTTTAGCTATGATCTGATATAGGTACTTAAAATTCAATTTGCAAAATATAGAAAAGCCTGATTTTCCCCCCTGAATACCATCTGTTAAACCATTCCGATATGAGCTAATTCAGCTACACAACATTTGTAAATAGACTAAAGTGGAAAAAAACCTTGTTGCTTCATGTTAAAATACAGACTCGGTCTGATCTATTAATATAGAGGTTAGAGAGCTATGCACAGTCAACATTCAATCTTTTACAGAACCCAAACGGCACTAACAGATATTCAACCAAATGAAAACATTACAGTTAAGTCGTAATTGTCTGTAAAGAAAATCACTCCAAGGTCTGAGAGCTATTCTCTGCAAATATGGGTCCTTGAGCCTCTCCACTCAGCAGGGCAATTTCTCAGCTAAGGTGAGGGCAACAGGGCAACTGGGACCAGTGAGGTCAGCAGATGCTCAGTGACCAGCCACTCAGACACTGGAGATGCTACAGGTGTTTCTCCCATGGCATATCTGCAGATGGCATATTTTCCCAGCTGGGTTTTGAGGACCGATAGTTCCAGATGCTCCTACATGGCCAATCACGAAAACTAGATAGCAGGGAAACCTGTTAAGGCAGTGGTCCCCAACCTTTTTGGCACCAGGGACCGGGGCTCCTATAAGAATCTAACGCCTGATGATCTGAGGCGGAGTGGAGGCAGTGATGCCAGCGCTGGGGAACACAGCAAATACAGATGAAGCTTCGCTTGCTTGCCCGCTGCTCACCTCCTGCCATGCGGCCCAGTTCCTAACAGACCACGGACCACCGGTCCGTGGCCCAGGAGTTGGGGACCCTTGTTTAGAAATATACTATCACTCCTCTGACTGGGCAGATCATCCAGTTTCTACTAATCCACAGCCGCGCTTTCCTTCAGTAGGAGTAAGCAACGGCATCCCACAGATTGGATGAAGCAAATACAGCAATACAGCCAAATCCCAATTACACGACCTCTTGAGTCAGTCTCTGCACTTGTTATGTTATGAGCTAAAGAGGAACCAAGGCCAGAGCCCTTAAACAAGGAGCAGCTATTAAGAATGAATTAGGATCTGTATTGTAGTTCTTGAATTCTTTGTAAGATTTGATACCTGGCAAGGACCAGGATTTTGAGAGCCTGTTGACTGAGGGTAGTCCAGGATACTAAATGTAATTCACACATACTTGTGAAAATCAATGATTTCTTACTAGCAGGCAAAAATGACTATAATAAACTGAATCCTCAACTCAAGCAAACACTAACACTGCAATGTGAACGTGGTTTCATTTACTGTACCTGTTAATAGTTTATAGACATTAAAACAGTTTTTAGCCTCAATAAAGATGGAGCACCCAAGTTTTTGATTTGTTAATTGATTCAACAAATATATACTGAGCACCCACTAAGTTCCAGGATCATGCTGGGGAACCTGGGGAGTAAAAATAAACCCAGCTCCCTCTGCTGACAAGGAGATTATCACTCTTAACTTTAAAATAAGCAGGAAATCCAATAATAAAAAAAAGATTTCTTAATTCAATAAGGACTAAAACTCAGGCTGTGCATACAGTACTCTTGAGATTTTTGCAAGATTTTTGCATTCTAGTATCACCTGTTAATGCTGAATACCCATAGGGAGCACCTAAACACAGAAACAAATTGTGATGTTAGGGAAATACTGTATATCAGATGTTTCCTGAAATTCGGAATATTAACAAATATAGGTATTTACTATACTAAAATACAAAAATATGTAATATGTTAAATACATAAATCATAAAATGGAACTGGATTTTTAAAAAAATAATCATAATCAAAAGACCGCTTTTCCTCTCAATTACAAAATTATGACCACATAAACTAGATCTTCGTAAAATTTCTCTTCTAGAGCTCAGATCTAACGACAGAGAACTTTTCGGCCTCGTTCCCAAATGGTCAGCCAGCAACAAGGTTGCCAAAGTCTCACAAGAATTAAAACTGCAAAGCTTCTTGGCTACTTAGCATATTGGAAATGAATTAAGGACTCAATGCTGCTTACCTTGTAATCTCGGGATACATTTTCTGATGTCACTGAACCTGAAATCTGACTAGAAATTGTAGCAGCTATAAGCTGTTTACACCATTCAACATGTGATCCTGTAGGACTAAAAGAAATAGTGTGATTAAAATATTTTAAGACATAGGCTCCCAGTGAGAAAAATGAGCACTGACTGGGGATATACATACAGTTCTTTTTTTTTTTTTTTTTTTTTTTTTTTAGAAACGAACTTTTATTAGACTATTTGGTTACCTTTACACTTAATATAAGAACTGAAATACTGACTGACAACTAGGAACTAAGATTAGTTTCCAGGTTGATTTTTAAATGAACCAACAATTTTTTTTTTTTAAGTTTAAGATTCTAAGCATGTTCATCTCTATCATTGAGTGGAATTTTACTCTAGTGCAATCATATACGGTGAATATTCTTAATGTAATGTATATAGAAAATTAATTCTAAAATGAAATATTTATCTCACAGCATATGCTTTTCAAACATTCGATGTCGTGTTGGTAGTTTAAAATCTAGAAGATAATGTAATTTTGAGTGAATCAAAGTGACTCTTAATGTAGCAAAGTTGATTGTGATTTAAAAAAGAACAGACCAGAAAAATGACATCCTGTTTCTATTAATAATGCTACCTTACGTTTCTGTAACTGCTGTGGTAACTTACAAAAAGGCTCTTCTGGTCTATTATTATATCAGAGCTTCACAATCACGATGTGATAAGAAGACAGAACAGGGACTAGCCAACTTGTTTCTGAGATGAGAAAATTCAGGCACGGCGGTGACATGCCCCATCAGAAAGTGGCCTGCTTTCGGCTACACCAGGTCTGTCCCTCCAGAACATGGTGCAACCAGTAGTGACTGACTCACTGAGCTGGAGGGCAAAACAGAGACCAGCACCACAGATGCTAGCCACTGCCTTATATGAGAACACAACGATGCAAAGAGAATGGCACTTTCTACTTGCACGATGCTCTGAAGTGTTCAACGCATTGCCGCATACGGCCTGACAGTGACCCATCTTACAGATGAGAAAACTGAGTCTCTGGTGTTTGAATAAAGTGGTCAGGCTGTGTTCACCTGACTTAAAAGACCACACAAGCAAACTAGGCAGAGAGGGAATTAAAAGTTGCCCCCAGGGGCCAGGCTTCTCTCTCAACTGGTCAAAGCACTGAAGAAATCAAGCTAAAGGGCAAAAGATGCTTATGAAAGCTTACCCTGCAGGTAGTTTGCACTGTAAAAAATGTTCCAGACCTTTAAAAATCTCATTAGTAATTAAATCTGCACTCACGTATTGGAAGGATAGAAAAACCTGGATTCCCTAGGCAGTACGTAAAATAATCTAAATAGTAAAATAAAGATATTTGATGTTCTCTACTAGTGATGTTAATTGTAGTCGCTGACCAAAATAGCCCAGTGGTTCTCTGTGGGGCTAAAAATGTGGTTAAAAAATTCACCGCATGGGCAGACATTCCCATGATATATCAATAATTCATTACCACAATTTCTAACCATGAGGAAGAAGGGAAAAGGGAGGGATTCTAGTCTCCTTTTTAAAGGCTAAGTCACCTTTTTTACCCGGTCATAACATACATACTTTTCTTGTCATGTGGCCTTTTTCTCTGCCAGCACCTACCCTTGATTGCAAATCTAACCGGTCTGGTCACCCTCCGTGGCTACCCTGTTGCCACCATCTGCCCAGCATTCTTTCCCCCTTTTTCTGATAAGGACATTTCTCTCTACTGTGGAGAAAGGCAGCCCCTCCCCACTTCATAAGCTTCTGTGGGGAAAGAAGAAGGAGGGGGCTTGCCCCTTGCTCCTCCTGGAGCCCCCACATGCAAGGGAGTGACGCAGGCTGGGTTAATTCTAAGTTTTCTCTTAGACCCTAGGCTGTGTGAACCTGCTCCAGCCCCACTGGAGGCCACTCCCTACCCCCACCACCTTGAGAAACACACAGAGATAAAGAGCGAGACAAGAAAAAACAAGGGATGGGGGCGGGCTGACAACACCGTTTGCGACTCTGGCTCCAAATGTGCCCGTGACCATCTTTCTCCCTGTCTGCAGCAGTGGTATGTGCCAAGAAAGTTCCTTTTTGGCTTAAGCTAGAATGATTTATGTTTTTAGTCACCTGCAACCAGAAGCATCCTGGCCAACACAGTTACAAACAGCGTGGTATAGTAGGCGGGTAGGCAGGAGGCCTGGATCGGAGTCCTGTTTCTGTCACCAGCTAGCTCCGTGACCTTGAGCAAGCCACATCCTCTTGCAGGACCACAGCTTTGCCATCATTAAGAGAAGTACAGTATTCAGAAGAGAGGGGAGGGCCCCACAGACCATGGGGTGGGGCTGAAACACACCCGGAGAGCCAGCTTCCACTCTCAGGGTCTTGAGTGTGAGTCAGAGCTTATCATGATGATAGAACAGAGAAGGGAGGCCATGTGTGTCCTCACCTTCTCTTTAGTCTGTCAGTCTGCCTCCAAGTGCCTGGTATCAACAACTACGTGCAGGCTGGGGGCTCCCAGCTTTGTTTCTCCAACGTGGACTCTCTCTCTGGACCTGGATGTCCATGATGCCAGGAGACATCTCCACTAGGCGGTCCCAGAGACCCTGCCAACTCAACTGTCTAAAGCAGCGTCAGCCCCATGTATCCTAAATCAGGGAAAAGCACAGCTAGGTACCCTGGCCCCTCAGGTCCGAAAGCTGGGGTTGACCTTGAAGCCCACCCCCCACTTCACTCTCCCGTCTGAATGCTCACCAAGTCACACTGCCCTTATCTGATAAGTATCACGAGAATGCACCTTGCTCAATTCCTACTGCAGTTCCCTTTCCAGATGCCTGTCATTCTGTTCTGCCTCGTGAATTTAAGCCCCATCTCTATGCTGATGACTCCCAAATTGAGGCCTGCAGCCCAGACCCCACCTCTGAACTCCAGGCTCATATAAACCAACTGCCTCTGGGATATACAACTGGCATCTCATAACAGCTATGTCTGGCGCTGAGAGCCTGTCAAGCTCCTGAAACTGCTCCACTTAGAGGCTTCTCCATCTCGGCAACACCACTTCCTACAAGCCAGAAACCTTGAGATCGTCCTGGATTCTTCTCTTACCGAACAACTAATCTTCACCAAACCTTACTGGCTCTACCCTGCAGGTTTTCTTCAAATCATATCCAGAATCTGACCACTTCTCCCTTTCTCCACCCCACTGCTCTGATCTAAGCCACCACCCTGTCTCACTTGGATGACTGCGGTAACCTCCCACCTGCTAGTCTCTCTGCTTCAACCTCTTCCGCTTTTGGTCTGTTGTCCACAGGAGAGCTCACTGATCTTACTGAAATACACCAGATTATGTCACTCCTCTGCTCCGAGACCCCCAAGGGCTCCCCATGACTCTCTACCACCTGCCTCTCTAACCACTCAGCCCCTCGACTCTACTGCTCTCTCCCTAGTTCCCTCCCTGCTTAATGACACTGGTCTCTTCACTGATCTTGGAACATTTCACTCGTACTCCCTCCCCCTCCACGGCGCACAGGCCTCTGCCCAGAATGCTATCACCCAGATATCTGTATGACTGGATCCCTGAACTCTTTGGGGACGTGACTCGAATGTCACCTTTCTCAGTGAGGCTTTCCCTGACCATCCTACATAAAATCCCAACCACTCCCATCCCTTTCCCAACTTACTTTTTTCCCCTAGCGCTTATCACTGCCTAACAGAAAACATATTTCCCTTGTTATTTTTTTTGTCTTTCTCCCACCAAACATATGTTCCACGAAGGCAGGGACTTGTGTCTGTTCCCTGTTATACCCTGAGCCCAACACAGTGCCTGACACAGAGTCGGCACTCATAGTCGCAGAAGAAATGAGTGAGTGATTAGCATCTCCCTAATCTGCTTAATAAGATTTCGTGCTTCCAGTCTATTCGCCATACTACTTACTGCAGAGCAATTATTCTCAAACGTCAGTCCCATCCTGTAGCTGCCCTGACGGAAATCCTGAATGACCCACCTTACTTGTCATGCAGGTGGTTGTTAAAAGTGCAGAATTCCAGCCTCCACCCCAGAGGTGGACAAACTAGATTTAGGGTGGAACCCAAGAATCTGCATTTGAATCAAGCACTGGAGGTGATTCAGTGGTAGGTTATACAGAACTGCTCTTGGAAGAACTGGCCCAGAGAATAATGGCTTAATTCCCTACGAAGGCACAGAGGCCCCTTCAAGATCTGGCCCCTGCCTTCCTTCCCGTGAGTCTCCTCCCTTAGCAGTTTCCCACGTCCAGCACTGCCTGCGTGACTGCACGTTCCACTCCCCCTGCCCCCAGAGTCCTCCCCACCCCG